ATTTATGAAAGTGCACAATTTTATGAATATGCTTTAGTTAAAAAAAAAAAAAAAAAAAAAAAAAAAAAATAAATAAATAAATAAAAACATAATAAATTAAAAATATCTATTTAATGTATAATTCAGTGAAAAATAGAAATATGAATATTTTTTTTTCTTTAAAAATATATACGTATAAATATAAATAGCAAAATGATTATAAGTAAAAAGTTTTGGGAGGAAGAAAAAGAAGCACCCATATTAAACAGAAATGGAAATTATGTTAATGAAGAAAATAGTGAACATATTTGTAAACGTGTAGAACATTTTTATGAGATAATGTTAAGTTATATAAAAGAAGATATAAGTGTGGATTTAAAGGAGGATTGCGATGATAAAGAAATTTTAAGAATAATTCAATTGGATGCTGTGAGAACTTTTAATAGTGAAGAAAATAGAAAATTACTAATAAAAGTTCTACAATCTATATATCCAATTACAAAAGATTATCATCAAGGAGTATCATTTATTTCCTCGTTTTTACTACTTTTTCTAGAACCAAAAGAAGTTGTAAAAATTATTGTAGGTTTACATAAATATTACTTGTCAGGTTATTTTAAAGCTATGCCTAAAGCTTATGTAAGAGACTCTCGTGTTTTTTTAAATATCTTAAAACATTTTCATCCTAATTTATATGAACACATTAAAAATTTAATTACACCAGAAGCATTTGTTTCTAAATGGTTTATTGGTTTAAATGTTCATGTGCTAACATTTGAATCTCTACTTTTATTTTTTGAACATTTATTAAAAGAAGGAGAAATATTTCTATTTAAATATAGTATTGGTTTATGTAGAGCTTTAGAACATGAACTTATGAGTACAGATGATGTTTCAAGGATTCTTGCACTATTGCGATTAGATAAAAAAATATTTCCAAATGATTATAAAGAATCTGACAATCAGGAAATAGGAGAATTTTTTATGAATATAATATATAATTCTTTAAAAGTTGACATGACTGGTATTAATTTAGATAAACTTAGAGAAGAAGCTTCTGAGCAAATGAGAATTGAAGAAGAAAGAAGAAAACAATTTGAAATGGAACGAGATTTAACAGATGATGAAATTATCTTCTCAGATGAAGAAAATGATTCACAAAATGATTCACAAAGTGATTCACAAAATGATTCACAAAATGATTCACAAAATGATTCACAAAGTGATTCATAAAATGATTCACAAAGTGATTCATAAAATATTAATATGAAAAATAGTGAAAGCGATAAAGAATAGAAAAAGTAATTAAAAGTAAATGAACATATAGAAAATAATACATAATTAAAATTCAAAATTGAAAAATATGAACACATAAAATAAAAAAAAATATACAAAGATAATTATTAAAAATTTATAAAAACTTGTATTTATTAATATTCACATACATACTATATATAATTACATTTTATTTTAATTATCTATTTTTGTTAAATTGTTGTGGAAAATATTTTTATATAATTTATTCAATTAATTATAATTTTTTCTTTTTAAAGTTTATATATATTTAAAATTTTGTTGATTTCATTTGTTTTTATTTCAATAAGACTCATATAGTTATATTTTTTAAATATAAAATTTACAGAGTTAATATTTACGTATTCTTTAATAGAATTTCTTTTTTTTTTTTTTTTTTTTTTTTCATTAATATTTAAAAAGACTGAATTAAAAGTAGTGTTGTTTTCAAAGAATCCCAAATTTAAAAAAAAAAAGATTAAAAATAACATTTCAATATACTGTAATTAAGAGAAAGTTATACAAATAAGTATTTCTTGTTGTTAAAAAGCTGATAATGTTCTAGTTTTTTAAATTTTTTTGTTTTTATGTAAGTTTTATGATAAAATTTAAAAAATAAAATAAAATAATAAAATAAAATAAATAACCATATATATATGAAATATCTTTTATTCTTCTGTTTTTTGTAATCTTGCTTTTGCATTAATAACTGAAACATTAATTTGTTTTGCTCTTTCAATTATTTCTTTTCTTTTCTTACTTGAAACGTTATGAGCAATTTGCACACAATATTTTGTATTGTTCATAATTAATGGTTCCATTTCTTTAACATTTCTTACTATATATTTATATTTATTATTTGGTAATAAAAATCTTGTTTTTTTATTACTACCATATCCAATACTTGGCATTAAGTTTGTTCCTTTATATCTTCTTCTCACACGACAATCAATACCTCTTGGTTTTCTCCATGCTGGCTACAATATTAAAAAAAAAAAAAAAAAATATATATATATAAACTCCATATATATAAAATACATATCCAAATGTATATTTATTTTTGTAAATTTTTTTAAAAAATGTTTTTTATTTTTCTTTAAATTTTTTTATACTGTTCTACATATTTGTACACATAATTTTTTTACAAATAATTTAATCATTTAAATATAAATTATTATCTTTAAATTTACCTTAACGCGCATAAATCTATTTGACTGAAAACGAGTAAATTTTTTAGTTCTCTTTTTTATTATTTTTCCCACTTTTTTTACTGCCATTTTGTAGTTGAATAATTATTATACAGAATATTTTTTAAATTAAGTTTTATATATATTTTTTTTTTATTTTGTTTTTTAAATATATATTTTATATTCCTTCTTTTAAATAATTTTATAACTAGATCTATTTTTTCATATTTTTTTTTTTTTTTTTTTTTTTTTTTTTTATTTTTCTGATTTATAGAAAAAAAAATTTGTATGAAAAAAAAAAAAAATATATGTTTACATGTATTAATAGGTGGACCACGAAAAAAAAAAAAAAAATATACATATATATATATATATACTATATTTTAAAAAATAATGTAAAAGCAAAATAAAATAAGTCCCATAAACAATTATATTTTTCTTTTATAAAATCATTTTTATGGATATTATTTTTTTTTTTTTATAATTATAATTTTAAAAAATTACTTCAATTTTAATGTAAAAAAAAAAATTACAAAAGATTTTTATGAAATACTTCAAAAGAAAAACCCAAAATTTTTATAAAAATTTATTGGTTATGTAAGGGGTATTTTAAATTTCTATTTTTCTTTTTGATACTTTAGGTTCATTAAAAAGGTAAATTTATTATTCTTTATTTTTATATCCTTAAGAAAAATAATGATATTATTTTTAAATACTTAAAGAATAAAAAAAGAAAAGTATTTAAATTAAATAAATAGTTAGAGATTTTTTATTATGTTAAAATATTAAGTAGATAAAATTTTATAGATTCATTTTAAAATCCACACTAATACAATTAGAATGTAGAAACAACTTAAAATAGATAGTTTTTTTCTTTTTTTTCTTTTTTGATTTATAAAATTATGAACATAATTATCTTAAATCGATTAGTTACTTAACAAAAAATTAAAAAAGGAGGTTAATAAAAAAAAAAATTAAAAAAAAAAAATAAAAAAAAAAAAGTACAATATTTTTCATAATTACTTTTAATAATTAATTCAAATAATCATTTTATTTTAATATGACTAATTTAACATGGAAATTATTAAGTACAACACTTTTAGTAAGTATAAGAAACTTGTAAGTTTATTCTTTTAATATTTATCGTATAACATTATTTAAGTAATTTTATGTATGGTATTACGGAAATATACATTTTTTTTTTTTTTAAATATAATATTTAAAATTGTTTATTTAATATGTGTGTCCTACTATAACTTATTTAATTTATTTGGAAATTAGTTTTTATTATCCTTTATAAATTATTGGGTACAAATTTAATATTCTTAAATTTTGATTCTCCTTTTAGAACTATTAACCCAACATTGCCTAAATCATCAAAATACTCATTGAATTTTGAGTTTAATACCATTTCATCGTTAAGAGTAATATTTATATTAGATCCATTATAATAAATTTTTAAATTAAACCATACATTATGTTTAATTGGTATATGTGTTGGTGCTATTAATTGATATGGAATTCCTTTGGTGATTTTCATCAGATATATTTTTCCTAATAATTCTGAAATGTCTAGTATAACAGATAAAAAGTCATCAGAAGATAAAACCCTAAAAATGATTCCTGCTTTTGATAATTTTTTTAAATTAACAGATGATTGAAATGTATAGGATTTTATTTCATCACATATATTCTGTTTTTTTAAAAGTATAATTGATGGTATAACTAAATTTCCTTTGTTCTTTTGTATAGAATATAAGTAATTATCATCATTTTTATTATTATTTAAAATAGTGTTAAAATTATTTTCAACGTTCCAGTAGGTGTTGACAGGAATTATCCAATTATTTTCCAGTGGAACATTAAATATTTCTTCATATTTTTTGCATTCTTTTTCATTTTTTTTTCTATTATTTTTAATATTTTCTGCTTTTTCATTTTCTTTTTCTAATGTTTTTTTCTGATAATATTTATTTATAATCTTATCAAAAACACTGTTTTTATAATATTTAGCTTCATACAAGGAACCTATTACAATTTTATCAATAAAGATTTTATCTTTACAATTATTTACACCAAAACCTAGTAGTCCACTTGTATCATTTTTTGTTTCATAACCGTTAACATATTTTTCATTTAAATATGACCTAATATATTTATATCCAAAATCAATATATATTTTAGTCCACATCCCTAAATTATATGAGTCATCTATTTTTTTTTGATTAATTTTTTTACTTTGTTTCCCATTAATAACTTCAACAAAATAAAATTCTTTCCTACTTATTATAAAATTGTTATAATTATTATGATCTTTATATTTAAAAATTATTCCTACATTTCCTTCATATGGAATTTTAATATCTACTGAAATGAATCCTTTGTACAACTTTGTGTATCTACAAAGTATATAAGATCCATATAAATCTTCACTTGATTTTATGAAACTATCATCAGTTATAGATGAAAAAAGATTCCCATTTGTATATTTTTCTATTTTCCAATTTGATGGCCCATTGATATTTCTATTGCTGTCTTTGATTATGTAATTATCATTTATATTTATTGAATCATAATTTTCCTGAAATGTTTCAATAGTTATTGGTTTAATATTAGATAGAGATTTTTCTAATCTTTGTATAATATATTTTTTTTTTTTTGTAATCATATCGAATTGTTTAATTAAGGAAAAAGCAGCAGATTTATTTATCTTTAAAAAAGAATCGTTACTCTTTTGTTCTATTCTAATATTTGATAATTTTTTATTTAAATTATTTATGGCATTTTTTTTACTAAAAAGATCTGAGAAAATCATTTGAGATTTCTTTGTTAATTTTTCGATGTGTTCCTTTTGTTCTTTATAAGTATGTTGAAATCTGCTAAATTCTTCCATTAATTTTTCATCATTATAATCACTAGGAGTAATTTCCTTTAATTCTTCTTTTGTATTTTCAACTAAAAAAAAATTTTCTTTATAATTTTTTGTGTTATATACATTCTGCATGTTGTATAATTGGTTTTGCAAAGCTGCATGCTTTTCGGATACTAAAACAACAGGAGGGTTTTCGAATAATTTTGAATTTATTTGAATAAAGGAAAAAAAATCATCTTCTATATTTAGTGATTTATTGACATTATAAGAAGTTCTTGGAAAATTGCATATAGAACCATTTGGTTTTGATATATAGTAAGAATCCGTATTTTTGTTATTAGTTATAATTGCTTTCACACCATTTCTTGTTATGCTTACTGTATTATTATATGATTGTGTGATATTTCTTAGTTTTGTTATCTCAATTAATCCACCGTTATATGTTATGATTCCTGAGTGAATTGCAGATTTACATATAGCTGAACTTGGACTATATATATAAGAACCAAATACTTCCTTATCATTAAGACAAAATGGCAAGCATCGTGCAATTGTTACCTTGTCGTCATCCAGTTGAATATCTTCAAATGTATCATCACATGATAATAACATAGACGGATATTTCATAACTTCATTTGATTTTCCATATTTAACGTATAACTGAATATTATTACAAGCTTTTCTTGTCCAATCAGATAAATTAACAGGAATATGTTCGTTAATGTATTTATCAAAAAGTGCAAAAGCATCAACAACAACAGATTTTTCATCACTTGTCAAATTGGATGATTTTATCCTTGTTACAACAAAAGAACCTGAACCAAATTCATAATTTTCTTTTAGATTATTATGACAATTTATATCAATATCAGAAATATATCTTTTAGATAGATCTGTTTTTGTTAATAATGCATGCTTATCATCAGTGACTATTCCTTTATATCCTTTATATATTTCTCTATTTTTATCATAATTATTAAAAAAATCATCTGTATCAATTAATTTAATATCTGTTATTCCTTTAAAAGTATGATCATTCATATTTGTCGGTAATATTATGCCGCATTCTTTGTAATTTCCTTCGTCGCTTTTAACGCTTTTTATCATTACCTTTATAATCCCTCCACTATCAGTGGGTAGAAAATTAGAATCTATTGCTGATAAGCATATGCTAGATTTTAGTTCATAACAAGAGTTACTTTTTTTATATACAGTATATTTTTCTTTTACGAAGCAATCAGAAGGACATAAAAAGTGGAATTCTTGATTTTTTTTATGAATATTTTCAAAGGTTGATGAGCAATCTACTTTTTTTTGAATATCTGTGTAGCAGACTTTTTCATATATAGTTGTATATAAATATAAAGAGGTTATCACTTGTTCGGGAAGAAATTTGCTACTCCAATATAAAGTAAAAGATGGTTTTTTTTCTTTTGATGATATTTCTATATATAATGGTACTAATTTGTTTTTTGATAAATATACAAGAGAACTAGTTATACTTGTATCAATTTGTGTATCCATATTGGAAATAATTTCTTCATTATCTAATTTTATAATTAAATTCCCTTTTATATTTCTTGCAACAAAAGTATAATAATTACTATCTGGTACATTTAGAAAACTTTGAATTATAATTTTTACTTCCCCATTTTCTATGCCTAATTCATTTAAAGTTTCTTCATTTATTTCTAACTTTTCTAATGGAACTCTTAATAAATTTTTTTTCTTTATTATATTATTACTATCATACACTTTCATTAAAGCACCCGTGCCATAATCATTTAATGAGGAAGATGTGTTTATCAATAATTTTATATCATTCATTAGATTTTTCATCCTTTCTTTTTCTTTTTTTATTTCTTCCTCTTCTTTTATGATTATTTCTATTTCTTTTTCTAATTCATTATAATTACTTATTAAAATATTAGACTTATTATGTAAATTTTCTAAATACTCTGTATTCACATTTTGAAGTTTTTTTTGAGAATATCTTGTTTTCATTAAATTCATTTCCTCTAAGGTATACATTTTCATTTCAAATTCCTTAGTAGATAATTCATTACATATAAAAGAAAATAATTTATCCCCAGCAATTTGAGCGCAAATATTATTTTCATTTTTCAAACGTTTTTCTTCATCTATAATCCATATTTCAGATTTTTCATTTTTATCAGGAGAACAAGTAGAAATTATTAAAAAGTTTTTATAAGTTTTTAAGCACATTCCATTTTGAGTTTTTAATCTTCCATCATTAAAAGACAACCAAACAATTTTATTCTTGAAAAATAAAATTAAAAAAGAAATGTGCATACATAAGAAAAAAAAAACAATATTTATATATAGAAATGTATGCTTTGTGCATATAAAAAAAAAAAAAAAAAATAGTGGCAAGAAGAAAATATGAAAAAAATTATATATAACATAATATATATCTATATAATGAATATAAAAAATAGTGAATAGGAGGAGAATTTTTAAAGAACATAGTACTAAAAATATTTTCTATTTTAAAAATTATAATATATTTTTCGATATAATTTTAAAATGTCTCAGATTATTGCAACTATATTGTTATGAATATTTTCATTTATAAAAAAAAAAAAATAATATATAAGATAGATTTAAAAAATATGTTAATGCAATCATATAATTATTTATAAGGTATAAAATTATATATTATTATTATTATTATTATTATTATTATTATTATTATTATTATTATTATTATTATTATTATTATTATTATTATTTTATTTTTTTTATATTTTCAATTAGTTTATTCATAAAACTTATAAATTTTAGTAAGAGTATAATATAGAATTTTTTGCATAGTGATATTACACATTTAATTTATGACGATTATGCTTAATGCAGCAAATTTTATACCTTACTATATGGTATTATATTAATGTAAAAAATATTTAAGTTACATTAATTTTTTTTTAATTTACCTCATTTTCATGTGCTATTTTGTCACATTTATCTGCCGCTATTTCAAATATTTTATTTCCAATAAGATTTTCGGGATATAGACAATATTTATCTTTATATTTTAAAAAGATTTTATTAGGTGAATAATCAATGGAATTTCCTTTGCATAAATATGAAAAAAATAATATAGATGTTACTGAAAAAAAAAAATTATTCATTTTGTATATGCTATTTTTTTTTTTTTTTAAACCTTAATTAAACAAAAATGGAATAGGAACAAAAAGAAATAGTAAAAAAAAACAAAGTAAAAGAAAAAACAAAAAAAAAAAAATGAAAAACAAGAGAGTAAAAATAAACATAATATAAATATAAAAAAATTAGAAAAGCATATGTTGTTGATTTATGCTATTACATTTTTCATTGTCTAGAACTTGTAATAAGTTTACACGTGTAACAAAATAACAAAATAAATAAAAAAAAAAAAAAGCATATGAATATTACGTTTAATATTTGCTTAATTTTAAAATAATAATATTTCGTTTATTTATATTACAATCTTATTTTTAACAATTTTTCCATGAAAAAATATCAAGATTATTATTAACTGCTAGGACAGTGATATACATAATAATGATATGTGTAACTACACAATTTTATTTAAATATAAGATTAGGCAATGTTGTAAAAAAAAAAAAAAAAAATTGTACATTAAATAAAAAGAAAAAATTATGAATACATAGAATTACCACCGAAAATTTTTGTATTGATGATTTTTTTGTTGGAGAAAATTTTTTATATTATATATTATCAATTTAAAAATATGGTAAAATGTGCTTATTTTAAATTTTTATTAAATTTTGTTAATTTTTATTTTCTGTAAAATTATAATATATATATATATATATATGTATATATATATTAATATAGATTTATAGATATAAACATTGACAAAATAAAAAATTTCTTTTTTTACATATTTCAACAGAAATATATGCTAAAAACATAAAATCTTTAACAATTACTAAAATATAAATAATAAAAAAAGAAGAAAAAATATATGTATGTATGTGTAAATGTGTCTTTACAAAATGGTAATAATGTATGCATATACATATATATGTAAATATATGTATGAATTAATATTCTAATAAAAACATAATAAATATAAATATTTTTAAGGATTTAAAACTCTTTTTTTTTTGTCTATATCTAATTTTTTTTTAATTGAAAATTCATGCATTACAAAAAAAAAAAAAAAAAAAAAAAAAATATAAAATATATAAAAATGAAATAATTATGATACATACCATTGTTTATATTAATATTTATATTATATAATAATATATTATATCTCGTGTTATTGCTTATTTTTTTTTTTTTTTTTTTTTTTTTTTTTTAATCTACATAAAATTTTTTTTGTTTTTCATTATTTATATATATATTATACTATTAAATATACGTATATATATACACATATATATACTTAACATTATCTGCTTCAATTTTTATAATTTTTTCTTGAAAATAACAAAGAATTTAATAATCTGCTTCATATCCTTCATCTTCTCCTTCACCTTCATTTGATTCTATGCCTACTTCTTCATAATCTTTTTCTAAGGCAGCTAAATCTTCTCTTGCTTCGCTAAATTCCCCTTCTTCCATACCTTCTCCCACATACCAATGAACAAAAGCTCTTTTTGCATACATTAAATCAAACTTTTGGTCCATTCTTGAAAATACTTCAGCAATAGCGGTAGAATTACTAATCATACAAACTGCTCTCATAACTTTTGCTAAATCACCTCCTGGAACAACAGTAGGTGGTTGATAATTAATACCACATTTAAATCCAGTAGGACACCAGTCAACAAACTGAATAGTTCTTTTTGTTTTTATAGTGGCAACAGCTGCATTTACATCTTTTGGTACTACATCTCCTCTGTACATTAAACAACAAGCCATATATTTACCATGTCTAGGATCACATTTTGCCATCATGTTTGCTGGCTCAAATGCTGAATTGGTAATTTCTGATACTGACAATTGCTCATGGTATGCTTTTTCAGCACTTACAACTGGTGCATACGAGGATAACATAAAGTGAATACGAGGATATGGTACTAGATTAGTTTGAAATTCTGTTACATCAACATTTAATGCACCATCAAATCTTAATGATGCTGTTAATGAAGAAATCACTTGAGCTATTAATCTATTTAAATTTGTATAAGTTGGTCTTTCTATATCTAAATTTCTTCTACATATATCATAAATAGCTTCATTATCAAGCATAATAGCAACATCAGTATGCTCTAATAAAGAATGTGTTGATAAAACTGAGTTATATGGCTCTACTACAGCAGTTGAAACTTGAGGAGAAGGCCAGCAGCAAAAATTTAATTTTGATTTTTTTCCATAATCAACTGATAATCTTTCTAACATTAAACACCCAAAACCGCTTCCTGTACCACCACCAACAGCACTAAACATTAAAAATCCTTGTAGACCTGTGCAATTATCAGCTAATTTTCTTATTCTATCTAAACATACATCTATGACCTCCTTACCTATTGTGTAATGACCTCTTGCAAAATTATTTGCAGCATCTTCTTTTCCTGATATTAATTGTTCAGGATGGAATAATTGACGATATGTTCCAGTTCTTACTTCATCTACGACAGTTGGCTCTAAATCAACAAAAACACAACGTGGAACCTATAAAAAGAATAAATGTTTAATAATATAAAAAAAATATATATATTTAATAATTTATTTAAAATTTAAAAAGAAATTAATAATATTTAAAAATATACAAAGTATATTTTGATTAAAAAACATATAAATTCAAAAAAAATTCATTGTTTAAATAAAAAAATATTTTAAGAAAATAACATAATTTTCATTTAAATTTTGTAAATCTTTAATTTATTACATGTTTGCCTGCTCCAGTCTCTGAAAAAAAAGTATTAAAAGCATCATCATTTGCTCTAGCAGCTTTGTCGGAAGGCATTTGACCATCAGGTTGTATTCCATGCTCTAGACAAAATAATTCCCTAAATTTTCATTTGAAAAATTAATAAAAAAAAAAAAAGAAAAAAAAAAGAATTATTTATAAAAATTTTGTAACAATAAAAAAAAAAAAAACATATAAGGTCAGGTAATATTTATAATTCATGTTTTGTAATATTATATTAAAAAGCATTATAAAGTAATAGTAAATGTATGTAAAGAACTAAACTTATATTTAAAGAAAAAATCAAAATATCTTGTTTGAATTTAATAAAAATTTGGATAAAAATAAAAGAATACATTTATTAACAAAATACGAAGGAAAAAAAAAAAAAAAATGTGAAATAAGGAATTAAAAAATGTGCAAGAACATTATGATCTTTTTACCAGCACGCATTTCCCACTTGTATACCAGCTTGTCCTACATGAATACTTATTACTTCTCTCATTTTTGATTATAAGAAAATAAAATTTTTTTTTTAAAATATAATATAAAAAAAAAAAAAAAAAATAATAAAATAAAATAAAATGAAGGAAAAATATGTAATTAATTATATATATATTTATTTTATTTATTTATATTTATTATTATTTTTTTATTTTTTTAATTCTTATAAATTTTCTTATAATTAATTCTTTTCTTAGCAAAAAATTATTATGCAATCATTAAAACATTGAGAGTGCAGAAAAAAATAATACTCTCAGCATAATTCATTTACATATAAAAATTTTAAAATCGCAAGATTTTTTTTTTCCCCAAAAAAAAATCTTTACACAAATAAAATTATAGTTGAAATTATTTTTTACTTCTTTTCAAATTCTTTTAATTTTAAAGAAATTTTTTTTTTTTTTCCATTAACATATATTTATAATATATAAAAAAATGTTAATTTTTTATAGCAATTTTGTGTAAAACTTAAATTTTTTTTTTTTTCATACATATGCAAAAAAAAAATTCTGTCAGGGTGTAAGCTAAGTGGTGCGTTGAATAAGAAGTTTTTTTTTACGTTTTAATATTTTTCAGACAAATTAGTCAGGATAATAAAATCTTTTAAAATAAATTCTCTATTTTATGATATATCATGTACGTATAAGTTTTATTTAAAAACAAAAAAAAAATAAAAAAAAATTACATTTATATATATTTACCAAGCTTTTTCATATTAGTTTTTTTAAAAATTATATTCGCACGCATTTCATCTTTAAACATAAAAAAGAAAGAAAAGAAAAAAATAAAATAATAAAAAATATTAAAAAAAAAAAAAAAAAAAAACTTAAATACTGAAGTTTTTTATTGTGAAATGAGTAATATTTACTTTTTTATTTTTTATTTTCTTAAATATATAACAACTTAAGGATTTAGAATAACTATTATTAAATTGTGCTAACAAAGCTGATATATGTTATTCTTCATAGTTATTTAAAGATTATAGGGTACAAGAATTTAGTAACCATATAAGAAAAATACTTTTTTTTTTTTTTTTTTTTTTTTTTTATTTACACACAAACAAGTTCCATTACAAATAAATTTAGAAGTTTTGAGCATAAATAAAGATAAAATATATAATATTATTTTTTCTAAGTTTATTTTCTTTAAAAATTTTACATATATAGATTTTATTATATTTTTTATTTTTAAAAGATAAAAAGTTCCTACTTATACGTACACACACACTTTTTTTTTCTATGTATGCATATATATTAACCTAAAGATCTTTTTTTTTCGTGCTTTTGGTGGCTTCAAAATTCATAGAAAATATGTAATTTTCCCTTAATCTATATTATAAATAAAACAATTCTAAAAACTTATTGTAGTTTGATTACTATTTGTTTATTTCTAATACATTTTGAAGTAAAAAGTTTAATAACACAGAAGTATTATTATTTTTTATTAAGTGGAACTTAAAATTACATGTATTCATGAAATGAAAAGTATTATTTTTTCCTTTTATGGTAATATCAGAGAATACATAAATAAAATAAATTTCTTTTTTGTCCCTTTTCATGAATTTTCTTAAATTTTTATTAATATTGTGCAATTAAATCGGTATCTTCATTATACTATATTGTTTATTAAAAAAAAAAAAAAAAAAAATGGAGACAAAAAACAAAAAAAAAAAAAAAATTTTAAAAACAAAAATAAATTTAATCTTGATGTTTCAAATTAAAGGGAATTTTCTTACAGAAATATGTTAGTATTTATTTTTCCTTTTAATTAGCTTATATAACTTTATATATAATATCTTGTATAAATTTTTTACGGCAAATTCTAATAAATTTATGTAATTTTTCTTATATACTTTTAAAGATTTTCCATTTTCTATTAAAACTTGTTCCTTTGAAAAACATTACAAAATTATGTGCAACTAAAAATATATTTTTGTTTTTTCATTAATATAACAGCAATTTATTTAAATATATTTAAAAAAAAAAAAATCATATTAACAGTTGAAAAAATTGCAATAGTAAAAGTTATTTTTATATATATTTTTGGTGAGTTCACAATAATTAAAAATAAAACCACTAAATGCTTCTTTTTATTTAAAATTTTTTTCAATAAATGAAATAAAAAAGCAAAATGGAGAAACATTGCATATATTCAGTTATTTTATTTTTTTACGTCTTTATTATTTACATAGGTTCTAACACAATTTTTAGTGAATTAAATAAAAAATTAAAATAAGGGAAGATCACATACATTGAAATCTATTAATTGTTTATATATTTTAATAATTACGTTGATTCTTAAGTAATATTTTTTTTTTTTTTTTTTATACATTAATATATTTTATGAATTATATTTTATTTAATTTAAAACATTTTATTTTTTTGTAAATTTAATATAATAAAAAAAAAGTAAATTTTTACATATAGAGTGTAATTTTAATTTTTTCCTTTAATATATTTAAGGCATATTATTATATTAATTTTTAACTAATATAAAAAAAAATATAAACAAAAACTTATAATTTTACATATATAATATTTAAAAGAATAAGAATAAAAAATAAAATTAAATATGAATTTTTTTTTAATGTGATATTAGTTAAATTTTTATTTTTTACACATGAAAAATTTTTAAACCAATGAAGATTCAAGAATTTACAAGATCTTTATAAGTTAAAAAAAAAAAAATATATATTTATTTTCAGAAAATTTTTTTGAAAAATCGAATTTAGAATTTAAAAATAAAGTTTCATAATTTAATGTTAAACGGAAATAATGTATCTGAAAAAAAAAAAAAAAAAATACACAAATTAATTCTTATACATGAAAAGACATGCAAATAAAAAATATATTTCTTTTAAAAATATAAGTAAACTATAATATAAAAAATATACAAACCATGGGTAAATTCATTTTATTAATATATTTTATAGATTCTCTTCATATTAATCCTTTTTATATAATCATATTTTTTTATATTTGTAGGAAACTTCTATGATGTTCTTTAATGATTATATAAAGTTTTTTTTTTTTTTTTATGAAGTAAAAAAATTACAAAAAAAATTTAAAGTAAAAAAATAAAAATAAGTGCATATATATTAGAAGTACTTAAAAAAACGTGAAACATTATTCAAGTTTTTAAAAAATTTAAATAAACTTTTTTTTATAAATGATATTAATAAAAATATATCACTATCAAAAATTTATATGTTCACATAAATTATATAAAAGAAAAAAATGCAAGATTTAACTTAATTAAAGAATAGGATTAATTCAAATGTTTTATATTATATTTATTTTTCCTTAATGTGTAAGGAAAACTTACAATACAATGAAAGTTCCTTATATGAAAATTCTATATCATCTAGGATAATAGTTTTATTAATAAAGTTTTTTTTTCTTTTTTTATTCTTTTTATATAGTAATTTTAAAAGTAGTTAAAGAAAAAAAAAATTAAATAAAAAAAAATAATGAAATAATTAATGAATAAAATAGTTTATTTTTTCTCTGATTCTGAGCACTTTTCCATTCTGTGAAAAAAAAAAAAAAAAAAAAAGAAAAAAAAAGATATTAAGTTTATTCTTGAATTTTAATTTTAGTAATATTTTAATAAAAAAATAAAAAATTAAATGAACCTTAATTTAATTCCAGTTATTTCGTTTCTCAAGCAAAGATTATAAGTTTGCAGTTGTTTATATTTTAGACCTAAATTATGAATAATTCCACTTAATAATTTTTGTTCGTCATTTGTAATGTTTATCTGAGTTTTTCTAAAAAAAAAAAAAAAATGAAAAGAAAAAAAAAATATTTAGAATATTTCCCTAAATTTTATTTATTTAATAATTGTAGTACAATGTATCCTTATAATATTCCGTTTCCTTTTCTCTAATTTGCAATTGCTCTTTTAAAATTTGTAATACCTAAATAAAAAAAAATAGAAAAAAAAAAATTATAATAAAAGTAATAACCATTATTTAATGAAATATATAATAATTTAATTTATAGTTTTTATAAATATTTTTCTATGAAATAACATATAATTAATTCTTTTTTTTTTTTTTCTTTTTCTTTTTTTACAGCATTAAATTCTTTGCTTAATTTGTTTTTTGTTGTTTCTTCAATTTGTTTACAATTTTTCTTTTCCATTATTAATTCACTTTCTAATTTGATTATTTTTTCCTATATTAAAATTACCAAAAAAATTAGATGTTATATAAAGTAATAAGTAAAAAAAAAAAAAAAAAAAAAAATACTTTTAAAGTAGAATCTGAACTTCCTTGTAAATTAGCCATCTGCACCATTATCTTTTGATTAGCCTAAAAATAAACAAAAATTTCCATTAAATAGATTAAAAATTACATAATAAAGTAAACATATACATATATACATATATATATTCACATATATATATATAACCTCAGTTAGCTCTTTAATTTCTTTTTCTTTATCTTTTATTTCATTTAGTGATTTCTAGAAAATAAAAAATAGAATAATATAAAATAATCTTAAATTAGAATTTATATATAAATTTTGTACTTCATATTTTTCTTGTAAAGATGAATCATTATTTGTATCTCCCTTATCTATATTTTCTGATATTTTAAGTTCTAATTTTTCATTTATTCTTTTTAAGTCATCAATTTCATTTTCAAGCTGAACCAAATGAAAAAAAAAAAAAAAAAAAAAATTACTTTAGCATAAATTTTCTATATATAAAATACAAAATGCATAAATTTTACTTCGGTTATTTTTTTTAATTGATCATTTGTGTCTAATCCTAATTGTTTTTTTAAATTTTCGTTTTCTTTTTTAATTCTTATTATTTCTTCAGTTTGATCTACATTGGATAACCCTCTAATATGGAATATAAAAATAAATAAAAAATGAAAAATTAATTAAATAAATAATCACACATATGAGTGTGTTTTTAAATGTATATATAGATATAAATATATTTAACATGTTAAACTTATCAAAGTTTTTTTCTTTCTTCAACATGTCATATGATAAAGTCTTTGTATCTCTAATAGAAAAAAAAAAAAAATAATAAAATAAATAATATATAAATGATTACTATGAATTTTAAAAATTATTAGTTTGTTTTTTTTTATTCTTTTTTCTTTTCTATTTACAGGTCTCTTTTTAATGTTTCTAGGGTTTTATTTTTTTCTAATATGTCTTGTTTAAGTTTTTCATTTTCTTTCTTTGAATTTATTAAATTAGCATCTAAATCTATAAATATTTACGTATATAAATTGCAGATATATTTATAATCCAACAACAAAAAAAAAATTAATTTTAAATTAAAATAAACATACCAGCACATTTATCTTTATATTTTTTTATATTATTTGACTCTAGTTTTAATTTTTCCATTTCATTTTCCATATCAACCATTTTTTGTGTGTTGTTCTAATGATAATAAAAAAAAAGTATAAATATTAATTAATAGTTGATGAAGAGAAGATTTATTATTATAAATGTTAATATCTATATTTTTTTTTTTAAATGTGAAAAAAATTACTTTAAGTCTATCTTCTAATTCTTTGTTTATATTTTGAACAGTCATTAAGCTTTCTAATTTTTCTTTATATTTATTTATTTTATTTTGCATATTATCAATATTCAAATTTTCTTGTCTTAATATATTTTGTTCATCTTCTAATTCTTTTATTCTATTATTTAAATCATTCTCTAAATTTAATTTATCCTTAATTTCTTTTTCTATATTACTTTGTAACTCATTAATTTTTTTTTCTTGTTCTTCTATTTGTGCGATATATTGTGTTTTTGTTTTTTCATTATTTGCATTAATTTGTTTTTGTAAATTATTCATTTTTTCTTCGTTTTCTTTAATTATTTTATTTTTCTCTATTAACGAATTATTTAAGTTTTCATTTTCCATCTCAAGGAGTTTTACTTTTTCTTTTAGTTGTTTTATTTCGTTTTTCATAGATCCATTCTCTTTCTGTATTTAATTAAAATAATTTTTATTGTTTTCTTATATATTTTATAAAAAAAAATATAAAAATTTATAATTATTTTACTTTGGAATCTACAGGGTTATGGCATATAATAGTTATTTGTTTGGAGAAATATATTATTTTAAAAAGTAAACAAAAAGAATAATTTTATATGATTAGTTTTATTATACTTTATTATGTTTCTATTCTAGTTATAAATTATTAATGATAATATTTCTATATATATTTTTTTTTAATGATATTATTATTTTTTTTTCATTCCCGTTATATTATTTTTTCAAAAATTGAAATATTATTATATATTTATATATATATATATATATATATATATATATATATATATATTTTTTTATGTACCTTTAGAATTATCTGATGTAGGTATATTTTCCTCATTTAAATTTTCCTAAAATAAACATAAAATACAAATATATTTATGTAAAATTCTTCTTATTATTAACAAAAGAAAAATATATACAAAAAATTACTTCTTTATCTAAAAGTTCCACAATATTATGTATATATTTTTGGGTTTCATGACTAACAGACAAAATGTTATTTATGTGTTTTTGTTTATCATCCGAAACAAGAGCGGCTAGAATAACTAAGCTATATATATCTATAAACTATAAAATATAAATATAAAAAATTTGTTAATAATATATATATATAATAAGTATATTTATAAAAATATAAGTATAAATATAAATATTTATTTTCATTTAATGTTTTCATTTATTTTGTTTTTACTTCATGTGCTGTTAAGCTTGATAAATTGTCAATTATACTTTTTATTATTTTTTCATATTTGTTTTCATGATATTCATTTATGTATTTTAGAAGACATTCATATGAATCCTTTTTTTAAAAAAAAAAAAAAAAAAAAAACATAAAAAAATAAAATAATAAAATATGATTAAAAAAATATGTAATAATTGTACATTAATTATAATTTCAGAATTATTAAACACATATATCTTTTTCAATGAAAAAAATTCTTGTTCTTTTAGAGATTCTTTTGTTATTATAATTATTATAATATTAATTGTTGACATTAAATTTTATGAAAATGTAAAATTATTTTTTGTTTATTTTTTTTAAAAAAAAGTAAAAATTTACTAATTCAGTATCAAATTGAGCTGGGTGAATAGAAATATCAAACCAGGATGGATATATTTCGTTCATACATAACCATATAGAATATGATGAATATAAATTAATTATATTTGAGTTATTTTCCTTATATTTTTTATGAGTTTCTTTTAAATTTGATTGATCAATAATTATTTCCATATTTTTTGCAAAACAAAATGTTTGAATAAATTCTTTCACACAATCTAAACTTTTCTCAACAGTTTCTCTCATTTTGATTCCTGTTGAAATACTCTTAAAATTTTTTTAAATTATAGATTAAAAAAGTTAGATAAGCTCACAACCATTAGTTATATTTTAAAAAAAAGTTTTAATAATTATTTTCATTATATTAAAGGATAAACATAATCATAAATTGTAAACTAAAAATAACTAACAACAAACAAATAAAAAAATCTTTAAAAAAGAAAGATCTCTAAGATTAAAAAAATATAAAGAGAATGAAAAGGGAAAAAATTGTGCAACTTTGAAAAAAGAAATCTTTTGATTTTCTAAATAATGAAATTATTGGTAGATATTAGAGAAAACTATTATTATTTATTTAATCAATTTTTAATGCATATTAATATTACTTTTTTTTTTTAAACTATTTTAACTTTTCATTATTTATAACACTTCAGTTACACATGCACACACACACACGCTCCACAAAGATAAAAAAAAAAAAAAAAAAAAAAAAAAAGTGAAAAAATTTTATTTCTCTTATTATATTTTATTCTTTTCTTTTATTTTAAAACTTTTAATAATAAATATTACCTTGAAATAACTCTGATACTAATAATATGTTACTTCTTTTTTTCTCTCTGAATTTTTTTTTTTTTTATCTCTACAATTTTAATTTATTTGTTTGATCAATGATCTATGGAAATAAATAAAAATAAATAAATCTTAAGTTTTCCATGAATCATAATAATAATAGCATATGTATATATAATGATTAAAATTTTGTTTATATATCAAAATTTTCTTAATGAATATTGAAAAATAATAAAGAAAACTTTATATTTTTTGATTTTTTTTTAAACACTTAAAAAAAAAAAAAATAATTCAACATAACAATAATACCATCACATATTATAATAAATTCTTTTTATTTGTTTCAACATCATCATAATGTTTTGTTGACCATATACACATTTTTTTTTAACATATGTTTTATATTGAATCTTCATATAAGATTTTTTTCATTTAAGTTTAATGACTTTAAATATCTTAAATTTACAAAGGATGAAAAATAAGAAAATTATATTAGTAGTAATATATAAAACAAAAAAAGGGTGAAAAAAAATTAAATAAAAAAAAAAAAAAAAAAAAAAACAACGCGTTGTAATCAACTATTATTCTAATTTGATTACATATATTATGAAAAAAGATATATATTTAAAAAAAATAAATATAAATGTATTCACTGTTATAGAATTAAGAAATATATAATAATTAAATATAAATATATTTCTACATCTAAATTTTTTTTTTTTTTTTTTTTTTTATTGTACTCACTATTTCATGCTTTTCATTTCATTAGATATATGATTTAACTGTTTTTCAATTTTCTCGCAGTTCACTTCATTCAAAAAACTCTTTGTAACAAATTCATTTAAAATATCATCTTTTTCTGTATTTTGTAGAGAATCAATTATTTCTTCTAAATTATCCATTTTCTCTGTTAATTTTTCAAAATGATCAATATCTAAATGCAAATTTTTGTTATTTATAATATCATCTTTATTAATATTTTTTCCATTAAAAACTTTTAAAAAACTTAAAGAAGTTTCATTATCCATTTCGTTTAACAAGGACAAAATATCACTTTGTTCACCTTGTATAATTCTCAATCTTTTCTCTAGTAATTCTTGTTTTTTTTCTATTTTTACTTGGTCATCTGATATTAAAGAATACATTTTTTCATAATAAGCTACTTTATTATATATATCTAATATTTCATTAGAACAATAATTCATGAAATTAATTTTATTTTTTACAAAAGAAGATAAATTATCAATCACATCAAGAATCATTTCTTGATCAAGATTTTTTTTAAAAAAAGTTTCATTTTCTTTTATATTATCTTCTACAAGTTTCCTATCTTTTTCTAACTGTTTTTGGTCATTTTCCTTTTTTGCATTTTTCTCGGAAAGTTGTTGAAAATCTTTAAAATCCATTTCTTTCGTATCATCATTACTTCTGAGAGTTCCTTTTGTTTCTTTTAGCTGAAAATTAAATAAAAGTGGATTATCCAGATTTTCGTCTTTCTTTAAATGTGTATCTAATAAAAAATCATCTTTCTCTTTATCTCTTTCATCAAATTCTTGTTTATTATTTATATAAACATTTTTTTTCCTATTTTCTAATGAGACAGTATTTAATATATTGCTTACATTGTTTACTTCGTCCCGATTTTCAACTTTTTGTGTTTCATTCTTATTATTGAATGTATTACTAAAAAAATTTGAATTATTATTATGTAATGAAAATATGTTACTTTTTTCTTCTTTTTTCGAAATTAAATTATTTTTATTAAAATCTGCTTGAAAAGTTTGATTAATCACAAAATTATCAGAAATACTGGTACTTTTTACTTTTGTATCTTTATTTGTTTCTTCAATTTCATGATCTTTTTTAACAAAATCATTAAGTTCATTTTCTTTTTTTACATTGTTATTAGTAAAATTATCTTTATATAAATTTAAATCATTCGAAAACGTATTGCAATTATTATTATCATTTTTTTTTATTAAACTTTCATTTTGCCCTTTGAAGTCTATCTTATTTGTAAAGGGTAAACTCCACATATTTTTTCCATCATTTATTTTTAACACATTATTTTTATCATCTGTTTCTAAAGTTTGAGATTTATTTTCTTTTATGATTTTGTTTTCATTATTATTTAATTCATCATTTTTTTCTTTTGATATGTTTAATTTTTGTTCATTATTTAAAAAATTAGAAGTATCTAAATTGAATAATGAAGTTTTCAACAAATTGGTTTCATTGCTTTTCTTTTCATCTAAAGACTTGTTATTTTCTTTTTTTTCTTCATTTGAAAATATGTTTTTATTTATACTAATATCACAATCAATATTTGTTTGAATTAATTTGTCATCATTCAAATTTTTCTTGGAGCTTAAAGGAAAAATTTCTTTTGTTATTGGTAATGTTTTATTTAAGTTTGCAAAAGCATTCTCATTATTTTCATTATTTGATTTTTCATTTTTATCTATTTTATTTTGATCAACTTTAAAAAAAAAACTAGAAGTTGAATTTTTATTTTCTTCATTATTATTAGTATTATTATGTATTAAATTTTTTTGATTATCATCACTTGTATCCTTTTTAAACAGAGATGTACTAAAAATAGAATTATTTACAAAATTGTTATCTTTTACATTTTCATCTTGTTCATTTTTATTAACATTTCCGCTTTGTGAAATTTCTTTTTTGAAGATATTCTCACTTTCATTTTGCATACTTTTTTTTTCGATACTCTTATTATCATTTGCTATTTCATTTTCAGTAGTTTGATTTGATATGTTCTTATCATCTACTAAATTCTTATTTTCACTATTTTTTTTTTCCTCATATTTTTCATTTTTTTCTTTTTCCTTTTCTTTTTCTTCATATTTTTCATTTTTTTCATTTTTTTCTTTCTCATTTTCATTTTTTTCATTTTTTTCTTTCTCATTTTCATTTTTTTCATTTTCTTTTTCTTTTTCTTCTTCTTTTTCTTTTTCTTTCTCATTTTCATTTTTTTCATTTCCTTCTTTTTCTTTTTCATACTCCTTTTCCTTTTTTATTTCATTTTCTTTTTCAGGTTTTTCATTATTAATTTTTTCAATTTCTGTACTTTGAGTATTCATTATATTTTTAATTTCAATGTTTTGCTTTTCTTTATTTTCTTTTTCAATGACTTTATTTTCTATAATATTATTTTCAATAGTTTTGTTTTCAACGTTTTGTTTTCCTATATTATTTTCGACAATTTTATTTTCAGTATTTTTATTATCAGAAACATTTTTATTTTCTGTGTTAAAAGAAAATATAGAATTGTTAGAAAAAGAATTATTTTTCAGATTATTAAATTGAAAAGGGTTTTCATTATTTTTCAATGGATTTGAAATTTTAAAGGAATCTGTAATAAATGGATTTTCATTATTAGTGGTTTTATTAAAGGGTGAAATAAACGTTGATGTGTTATTAGATTTAAACAAATCATTTGTATTAGGTTTTGCAAAAGAACTAAAGCTACAATTAAAATTAGAAAGTAATGATTTCGATGTATTATTAAAATTATTAGTATTATTTTTTGTTGAAAATAAATTATCATTTTGATTAAATGGTTTATTTTGACTTAAATCATTTGAGTTATTTAACTTATTTGTTGAGTTTAAATTGTTTACACCAAGAATACCAAAACTATTTAATTTTCCTTCGTTACTTGTAAGAAATGAATTAGAATTATTAGTTTTTAAAAGAGATGATTTTTCATTTTGTGTGGAAGCTTGCAATGCTATACTTTGAAAAGGATTTAAATTATTTTTTGCAAATGAATTAGAGCTTGATGAAAATCCTTCATTAAATGTTAATTTATTACCGTTATTACTATTATTCATTTTATTATTTAAACTTGATATAGCATTAGAATTAGATGAGTTTGCAAAAATTTTTTTTGCTGCTTCTAATTGTTCTTTTGAAAATAATCCACTTTCTGTACTTCTCTCTTCATTTAATTGACTACCTAAAGCTATTGAACTACCTAAGGTACTTTTTTTAAAAATGCTTGAACTGCTGTTTGTTGTATTTCCGATTAAATTTCTTGTGAATCCTGGATAAATATCTTTTTTTGATGCACTGAATAAATTATGATTAAAAGTATTAGAGGAATTAACAGTATTATTACCAAATATATTATTATTTTTATTTTGACCACTAGTATTATTCATACTATTTGTAAAGAAAGTATTATTTTTATTAATGTTATTCTGATTGTTCAAAGCATTACTAAAGAGATTGTTATTTTTATTTAAGTCATTTTGGTTATTCATATTATTACTAAAGAAATTGTTATGCTTCATTAAATCATTCTGATTATTTAAATTACTTGAAAATATATTATTATTTTTATTCATATCATTCTGATTATTTAAATTACTAGAAAATATATTACTACTTTTATTCATGTCATTCTGATTATTTAAACTATTAGTAAAGATATTACTGCTTTTATTCATATCATTTTGATTATTTAAACTATTAGTAAAGATATTACTATTTTTATTCATGTCATTCTGGTTATTCAAGGTACTTCCAAAAAAATTATTATTTTTTGTTAGTTCATTTTGATTATTCATACTATTCATAAAAATATTATTATTTTTACTTAAGTTGTTTTGGTTATTTAAATTTTGAGAAAAAAAATTTGTATTATTTAAATTATTATTTGAAATATTCCACATATTAGGGTTATTACCACTTCCTCCGTTATTTGCTACATTGTTTTTATTAAACAAATTATTTTTGTCTTCATTATTAAAAAACATTTTTGTATTTAAAAAAAAAAAAAAAAAATGAAAGTTTTATGTATTCTTATTTTTTTTTTTTTATTACTTCATAACTTATTTACAAAATTTTTTTTATAAAAATTCAAAATATTCACTCTTTTATAAACAAATGAACATGATATATTTTTTTTTTATCTATAATTGTAGCTTTTAATTATTTTTGAAAAAAAGATTAAAAATTTGCATACAAATATATATATATATATATATATATATATATATATATATATATATATATTATATACTTTTTTTTCATTAATATATTTATATAAATTTAAAATCATATTTTTAAAAAAATTATTTATAATTTTTAATTAAAAATGTAACAATGTTTAAAAAATTTAAAGAAAATTTTTTTTTCAGGATCATATAAAATATATATTTTTTAATATTATATATACATGTATTTGTTACATAAATGTAAAATTATTAAATATTGACTTAACATTATATTTGTAATTTCTATAAAGAAATTTAAATATTTAAAAAAAAAAAAAAAAAAAAAAAAAAAAAATATATATATATATATATAATAATTAATACCTTGAAGTTATACAAAATTTATTTAATCAGCTTTCTATATTATTATATATTATTTTTTTTTTTTTTTAAATTTATATGAAAGAAAGCATATTTGTATATTTTCATAAATTTGTAGATTCCACATTAAAAAACAATTATTCCAAAGATATAATTTATGTCATTAAATAATTAAAATAAATATAGACAAAAAAAATAAAGAATAAGAAGATTTATTTCTATTATTTATAAATATTTTTTTTATAAAAGGATACATTTATCATATTCTATATAGTACAGTTTTTCTTATTATTCCATTTAGAATTATTAAATCCCTTTTTTAATTTTTACAATAAAGTAATGTTTTAACTATCATTATAATTTCCACTATTATAAATAATATTTTATTAAAGAATTCCTTAACCAATTTTATTATTCTTTCTAATATATAGTTTTTTTATGGAAAAAAAGAGAAATATGATACAAAAAAGATGTATTCTAAAATATAAAAAAAACTTTTTATGTTAAAAATTTACATATTTTAATAGATAATTTGTTACCATCAACATATATAGATTTTATAAATATTCTTCTTTTTATGTAAAATTATATATTTTCAATATTAACTTTTTTTTGTAAATTATATTATCGTTTGGAATTCATTTATTTTGAAAAATATATATGAAACATTAATTTTTTTTCAAAATATTCATTTCTGTCTTAAATTAGTGTTTAAAAAAAAGAAAAAAACAGTCAAAATTAAAGGAAAAATAGAAAATTATAAAATTATAAAATGATGTTTTATATTCTTTTTTTTTCATCATATTATATTTTTTTTAATGTTTTTTATTTTGTAATTATTATTATCATTATTTCCTGTATTTTAAATTTTGTTGTCTATGTTTATTTTCATTTTTTATTTTATATAACTTTTCTTAATTTTGTAAGAAAAATATTTAAAAAAAAGAAAAAAATATACTAGTAAAAATGTATAATATAAAAAAAATAAAAATACATAAAGAATACCTTAAGAAATAGGCATATAATTCTACATATAATGTTTATGTATACACATTTATATAAGCTAGTATAGTTTAGTTTTAGATATATATTTTTTTTCTTATAATAATGTTCTTTCTTTTATTAATTAAAATAATAATTCGCAATAAAAAGAAATATATGCAGTTTGGTGATATAATTTCTGTTTTTGTAAATTAAACCTAGACCTTTTTTAAACAAAATATTTATAATTTTATATGTTAGGTTTAAATTAGAATTTAAAAAAAAAAAAGAAAAAAATAATAATTTTTCAGTTTTAAATAACCTTTAAATATAGAACCTTCTTTTCATTTAATAAAAAAGTAGTTTAAACACAGAATAAATATATTCATAAAATTTTATTTTTATCTGTTTATGAAATTATGCTATATAAGAAAATAACTGTATTCAAAAGCTTGAAATATAAAATATGCAAAATACAATAGATATTCAGATGGAATATAAAATAAAAGGAATTTATTCAAATAAAATTTTTAAACAAATTATTTTTTTTTTTTTCATTTTATGTATTATATTTTATTTATTTTTCATTTCCAATTATACTACATAAAATTCATGTTATTTTTATAGGAAATTTCCTCTATCATAAAATACATTTTACATTATTTAATAAATGCATGTTGCATATATATACAAAAAAAAAAAAAAAAAAAAAAAAAAAAAAAAAAAAAAAAAAAAAAAAAAAAAAGCTCCTTCAATTAATACTCTTAAATTTATAATTTTATAATTTACAAATTTTTTTTTATAAATATATCACTGACAAGAATTTTTTAATTAAAAAAAAAAAAAATTGAATATATATAATTTTTTTAAAAAATAAATGAATTACATTTCATTGTATTCTAAAACATAAAAAAAATAAGAAAAAGAGGAAGAAAAAAAAAAAAAAAAAAAAAAAAAAAAAAAAAAAAAAAAAACAAAAAAAAATTAATACTCTTAAATTTATAATTTTATAATTTACAAATTTTTTTTTATAAATATATCACTGACAAGAATTTTTTAATTAAAAAAAAAAAAAATTGAATATATATAATTTTTTTAAAAAATAAATGAATTACATTTCATTGTATTCTAAAACATAAAAAAAATAAGAAAAAGAGGAAGAAAAAAAAAAAAAAAAAAAAAAAAAAAAAAGCTCCTTCAATTAATACTCTTAAATTTATAATTTTATAATTTACAAATTTTTTTTTATAAATATATCACTGACAAGAATTTTTTAATTAAAAAAAAAAAAAATTGAATATATATAATTTTTTTAAAAAATAAATGAATTACATTTCATTGTATTCTAAAACATAAAAAAAATAAGAAAAAGAGGAAGAAAAAAAAAAAAAAAAAAAAAAAAAAAAAAGAGTAATAAAAAAACCAGTATCTTAAGAAATTAAATAAACCTATGGGGATAAACTATACAAAAATAGAGAAAAAATAATTATTTAAAAAAAAGGCTTTTTATAAGAATAAACAGCTTAATAAGAAAAAAAGAAAAATTAATTTCGAACGAATATAATTCTTTTAATACTTAAGTTTATTTAGTATAGTTACAACATTTTTTAAATAAATATAATTATATATTTCGTCTCATTTAGATACTTTAAGTAAATATTATAATTTACTTTTTTTTATTTTATACTTTATTATACTCATATTATTAGTATTATTATTAGGATTGATATTTTTGTTTTTGATATAGTTAAAAATAAAAGAAAAAAAAAAAATATAAACAACTTCTTATTTACATCTAAACATTTTATAATGAATTTAGTAAATGATGATTATGAGAATAAAGGACTAAAAGATATGAATGATTCAGAATTTTCAGAAGATGAAAGTATAAGAAAATATCAAATCTTAAATAATAGTAATGGAAATGATTTAAACGAATTGGAAACAGTATTGAATAACAAAGATTTAAATGTAGAAAGTAAAATTGAATTTTTTTATTCTAAATTAAAAAGTAGTATATTTGATATATTTAGAATTGTAGCTGATTATAACAGTTTGTATGTTATAAGTGGAGAAGGGATAATAGTTTATGTTTGTATGTTATTATCAAAATTTTATTTATTTAAAAATGAGGATGATCAAAATATACTTTCTTTTAATAACTCTTTAAATATTAGTAGTGTAATATATTACATTGAGAAAGTATTACATGATTTTTCAAAATGTAATTCAAGTTTTCACATCATATTTTTTAATATATTTAGCATATTTTTTAAAAAGGAAACAAAATTATTTGAAAATTATAATTTAATTAGAAATGCCTTTATTCTTCATTGTAAAAAAAATTTAATTCCTTATTTTATATTTGATAATTGGTATAATGATCACAATTATAATTTTTATTTAAATAAATATAAACCCTTATTTATGTTTGTTGAAGATAGTTCTTCTTTTTTGTATAATTTTAATAAATTTTATGTAAGTAATATAACTAATGATGACTTTTTATATAAAATTAAAACAATTAATGATGAGGAAGAAAAGTTACAAAAAGAAAAAAATTATAAGGAATATTTAAAAAAAAAAAATATATATGATAAATATAATGAAGAAATTAGAGAAATATCCTTATGTTTTTACTTTCTTTTAATCAATAATATTTTAAGAGATATGAAATGTGTGTTCTTTTTCAATTTAGAATCTGAGAAAAATACTATAAATGCCTTTTCAATAAATTATACAGGAATTAATTTCAAAATAGTAGAACAAATGAATGAGGAATCTTCTGAATTCTTTAATTTAAAATATTATAAAAAACGTCAAATAAAGGAATACAAAGAAGAAATGAATAACTTGAACAATAATCAAGAAAATATTTCTTATGTGAGTTTTCAAGATATAAAGGACTATGATTTATTATATAGAGATGAAGAAAGTTACAATGAAAAGGAATTAGAAATGATAAACTCATTTGAAATGCTAATAAATTCTAACAGTATTAATTTAAAAGATATAGTACTAAAAATTTTTTATAATAAAAGAAAAGAAATAATTGAGTTTGAAGAAAAAAAGGAATATTTTTTTTTAATTTTAAGACTTCTTTTTTTGCATAATTATTTAATTGAAAAGTTAAATATGAAAAATTTGTGTATATATGATTCACAAAACTTATGTTTATCAAAAATTATAAAATCAGCTGTAGATTTAAACGTAAATATGTACTTAAGCATTTATAATTTTATTTTGAAAATTCTACAAAAAGATAAATATTGCGATTCTTTAAAGAATATAAGAAATTCTGACTTACTAAATTTTTTTAATGCTTCAATTCTTCATAATTTAATAAGTTTCATTTATTTTAAATTAAATCAAAATATATTTGTGATTGATCATGATGATTTTAATCTTGAAGATAAGGATTTTTTTGAAAAATCATTTCTAAGAATAACAGATGGTAGTTTGTCTTTTTTTCCTTTTGATTTTTCATTTTTAAAGGATGAAATAAATTCATTACAAAAACACGAACTATCTGATTTTACAAGTGGTTCAAATAATATGAATGATAAAATTAATAAAGGTGAAGAAACAAATGAAAAAAAATCAGATAATATATATAATGAGGAAAATGAGTTTCAAGAAAAAGAAAGTTCTATTAATCTTGATGTTGTTCCTATTAATTTACTTAAAGTTAAAAATGAATTTATAGAAAATTTTTTTTCCTTAAAAGATTTAATAAATGATCCTCATCTAGAAAATAATAGGAAAATATATCTTAAATTTAATTTTATAAATAAATGTATAGGATATGATAATGACTTTTTTGAATCATCTGGGATGCTACATTTGACAGAAAGAGAGAACATAATGGATGTTTTTAGAAGTTATATAAAATTATCTTTTAGCAACTCAAATAAATTAAAATTAAACAAAAAAGATGAAAAATATATATTAAGATATCAACAAAAAGAAGAAAGAAGAAAGGCAATAATTGCAAAATATTTTTATATTAATGCCTTACATCATCCTATAGTTATATCAGAAAATCATCCATGGTTAAAATATTACTCACATAATATAGAAAAGTATTACATTTATTTAAAAGATGAAGAAAAGAGAAAATGTATAATTACTAAAATGAAAAAGTTATTTGATAGTTCAATTGAAGAGGATAATGAAGAAGGAGATAAAAGTAAAGAAGATAAAATATATGAAATTACGGATAGTTTAGATGATGAAAGTGAAATAGAAACTGAATCAAATGTTGATGAACTAGATAACAAGGATAGCAGTAAAAAGTTACATAATGAAAAAAAAAAAAAAAACACTAAAACAAATGTTAATTCCTTAAAAAAAAAAGATGAAATATTAAAAAAAAAGGAAATGACAAATGAAAAAAAAACATATGAAGTAGATTTAGAACGATATAATGTACTGGAATCAAAAATAAATAAGCTAAGTAGTGACAATAGCTATTCAGAAATGAATACATGGTCTCTTGATATAATATCAGGATTTAACAGATTGGTAGATGTTTACAATTTTAACAACATTACAAATTTAATTAAAAATGTAGATCTTCAAATAAAAATTAGCATGAAAGTTTTGACTAGTATGTTTGAAATAATAATGTATACAAAATTAAAAAATTTGAAAAGTAATAAACAAAAAGCGGATGCAATTAAAAGTGTTATATTAATTTATAAATTAACCAATGAGATTTTTAACAAATATAAAAATAATTTAAAAGAAAAGGATATTATGCAATTGCAGACAGTGTTATTATCACTAGGGTTTAAAAATAGTAGTTATAACTTATTTGAAGAATATGTAAAAATAAGAAGGAAAGTTACTGATGACCTAAAAGATGAGGAAATAGAAGAAAAAAATAATGTTAATAAAAAAAATAATATAAAAGGAAAGAAAAAAACTGAGTTAAAAGGCTCAAATAAAATAAAAAAAGGAAACAAAAATAAAGTTTATAGCGATGATGATGATTCATCTGCTTCATGTAAATCTCCAAAGTTAAAAAAAATGTCAAGCAAAGAATTAGGTGAAATATATAAATACAAAATAAAAGAAGTAAAAAATTACAGTGAATTAAAAATCGATGAAAAAAAGGAACATGAATTTCAATTATATTATATGTATTATTTATTAGATAGAACAACGGGTAATATAATGGATAAACGTGTCTTATTTACTTTAGATACATGGCAGTATAATATTTTAAATCTGGTGGATCGAAGAAAGAGTATTTTAGTTTCTTGTCCTACTAGTAGTGGTAAAACATTCATTTGCTATTATGTAATGGATAAAGTATTAAGATTAAATAATGACAGTGTAGTTGTATATGTAGCACCTAATGATACATTGGCTTTACAAATATATCATGAAGTAAATGGAAGATTTAGCACAAAAGGTTATTCAAAATATAGTGGAAATAAATTATGTTCATATATGACTGATAAATATGCTGAAGAAAAAGCATTAGATGCTCAAATAATTATTATTTTGCCAAGTGTTTTAGAAAACATTTTATTATCTTATTATTCTTTAAATGATTCATATGAGAATATAAATGTGCCTAAATTTATCAGTAAAATTGAATATATAATTTTTGATGAAATTCATTGTATTGGAGATAAAGAGTATTATGGCACACAAATTGAAAATATTATTCATTTGATTAATTGCCCCTTTTTAGCATTATCAGCTACAATTGGTAATATAAAATATTTTTACTCATGGCTAAAAAATGTTTTGATTAAAAAAGGAAAAAGTTCAAAAGATCTTCATTTGATAAAATTTTATGAAAGATATTCTGATTTAATTTTATATGTATATACAAACAAAAATTTGCATCATTTAAATCCTCTAGCTTGTTTAAATTTTAGAGATATACTATATAAAGGAATTAGTAAAGACTTTTATTGCAATCCTCGAGAAATATATGAAATTGTAAAAATATTATTTGAATTAGCGAAGAAAAAAAATTTTTATGATCTTATAGAATTTTTAGAGCCATCTTTTTATTTTGAATATACTAGGTGTATAAATAAAAAACAATTTATATATTATATGCACAGTGTAAAAGAAATAATAGTATATTTAATACAAAACAATTATATCAATAATTCAGATTATGATATGCTTATACATTTATTGTTGTCTAATTATATGAAAAATTCTGATTATATAAAAAATGAAAAGTCAGAGGAAAATGATATAGAGGATGATGAAGAAAAAACAAAGGAATTAAAAAAAGATAAAAATATCACCAAGCATTTATATAAAAGTACAAAAGATGAAAATATTCCTAAACAGCAGCTTTTTCAAGAATTATATAAAAATGCAATATTAGATGAAAATTTTTTCTTAAATAAATCCAATGATTTAGTAAAATATACAGAAACTGTAAATATTGAACAAGAATATTTAGATAGTGGGAAATTAATTGAGCTTTTGAAAAAATTAGAGGATATTAATTTTTTGCCATGTATTGTGTTTAATTTTGAAAGAAAAGAATTAGAAGATATGACGATTAACTTAATTAATGAATTAATGAAAAGACAACATGATAAATATTATGGGGATGATGAAAAAACTTTTAATACAAAAATGGAGAATAAATTGAGACAAGAAAAGTATGAAAATTTATTAAAGCAAAGAGAAATGTTACTAAAAATTAAAACAGTATCTAGAAATCAAAGAATAGAACAAAATATAGATAAGCAGTATTTAGAAATGTTAAATGAAGATGAAATTCCTGAGCCTCCCCTTGATATTTCAGAAGAATATGATGGAGATTTTTATTTTTGTAATAGAAAAGTTTATTATAATTATGTATCTGAAATTGAAGATTTAATTAAAGATGCAGAAAAAGCAATTGAAGGAAGAAAATATAAATCTATATTAATTGAAGGTTTAAAAAGAGGAATAGGATTACATTACGAAGTATTGCCATATAAATTTACTATTATAGTTGAGTCATTATTTAGATTGGGATATATAAAAATTATTTTTAGTAACAAAAATTTATCATTAGGTATTAATATACCATGTAAATCTATTATTTTTGCTGGTCATACATTAGAATTAAACTCTCTTATGTTTAAACAAACTTCCGGTAGAGCTGGAAGACGTGGATTTGATTTATATGGGAATATTATTATATGGAATATTAACTTTAAAAATTTAAGAAGATTAATTATATCTCCTTTGCAAACATTATCAGGATCCTATTCAGTAAATTTAACATCTATTTGCAGAAGTATGCTATTATATAATTGTTTGGAAAAAAAAAGAGAAATAGAAGACAATAATAAAAATAAATCAATTGCAAATAAACCTAATAAAAAAAAAAAAAAGGATGTTACATTAACAGTTGCAGAAAAGGAAGAGATATTTGAAAAAAATAGAAGTATTAATATAAATTATTTTAGTAGAATCAATGGAATATTAAGTATTTTTTACAATTCGTTATATTTTATAAATGCTTTTCAGGAAAAAAATTCTAATAATAAACAAAGAAAAGAATTTCCTAAACGCACTAATTTGACAAAAGGAGAGTTAAATAATAGAAATAAAAAATCAATGAATCAAAAAAGTGGAAATATAAACAGTGTGAGCACATGTACTACTACTAGTTTAAATTATAATGTAAATGATAAAGTAAAAATAAATTGTAATCTTGATGAGAATGTAGTAAGTTGCGATGATAACAACTTAGATGTAGAAGAAAATGAATATATTAAATTCATAGCAAATGAATTCAATCAATATAAAGAAAAGAACGCATTATCTAAGTTTATTAATAGAAAATATGAATATAATGAATTATTATATGAATTTATTGCTTATAAGAAAAAACACAAAAATAATAATGGAAATGAAATGAAATTAAAAGAATTGTGTTTTATGATAAAAACTCACTTTCTTATGTTTATAAATATTCTTATTGAAATGGGTGCTATTGATGAAGAAGGTAATATAATTAACTTAACAGAATTATCCATATTCTTAAAAAAAGAATTTGATAACAATTTAATTTTAACATACTTATTAATAAAAAAAGTTATTCATAATTTTGTAGGAGATAAGACATTTTTGTCTTCTTCTACATCTGTTCCTTTAAATAGAATAATTGATTGCATAACGTATGAAAAAAATTATTCTCGTAATATAATTACAGATGATTTATCAAGAGGCCAATTTATATTACTCTTTATTTTTTCCCATTTTATTAATAAAATAAAAGAAAATAAAATATGTTTAACAAAAATATTAATAAATTATAATAATACAAATAAATATAAATTAGAATTATTTAGTTCAACTTATTTTCCTTTATTGCACGAACTTCCCAAACCTATACAAAAGCATATAAAGCATCTTGAAAATATTGTATTAAAATATTTAATAAATTATTCTTTAATAGTTTTAATTAAACTTAATATGTTGAATAAAAAAAAAACATATTTGTTGCCACATACGCAATTGTACATTTTTGAACAGCATCCATCACTAACTTTAGGTGAAATTTTTATTAAGAAGGATCAATCATCATATTTTAACTATTATCAATCAAAGGTTAGATAAAAAATAGAAATATAAATATAAAAAAAAAAAAAAAAAAAAAAAAAAATATTACTATAAATTTATATATATGTGAAAAGAAGTTAAAAAAAAAAAAAAAGATAAATTTATTCTTTTTAATTTTTTTTTTTTTTTTAATTTTTTTTAATATTTTATTATTTTTTTCGTAGATTCACAATTATAAAATAAGGTCTCCATTTTTGGCTTCATTGTACAAGTATGATGATTTTGAAAATTTAGATGAGTTACTTTATACATCTTTAAATAATTTAGAAATAAAAAAAAATATGATCCCAGATATAATGGAAAATTGTGTTTCATTTTACAAGTTTCAAGATGGTTTAATAAAAGAGGAAACAATTTACTTAAAAAATTCATATATTTTAGACTATTATTTACATGGAAAAGATGAAATGATAAGGAATAATAATAATCTAGGTCAATATACCTGGTACATATTGGATAGATTTCTTCATTCATTAAAGAATATAGAACATTTCTTTTTTGAAATAAAAAAGGAAAGGCTTATGTTATCTTCAGATGTTTTTTATACTTCCTTGAGTACATTAAAAGGAGTTTTAGAAAAATATTTTAAATCAATTAATTCCGTACATACAAAGAAAGAATAATTTAAACGAAAAAATTAGAAGAAAACTGAAATTCTCTTATATATACCTCCTTTCATTTTATAACATTCAATTTTTCTTTGTATTTTATTATATTTTTTTTTATTTTTCATTTTTTTTTTTTTTTTTTTTTTTTTCATTTTTATTTTATTACATCCTTGAAATTTTAATATATATATATATATATTTTTTTTTTTTTTTTAATTTTTTATTTTTCTGTTCTTTATCTTGTTCATACTTCCTTTGTTCTGTTATAAATGTCTTTTTTTATAATATTTTATAAAATAATATAATTTTGCTTATTTTTTTAACTTTATGTGTCAATAAGCTTTGAATATTTATAGAATTATCACAAAATATATGAGAATAATGATGTTTTCAGAAATTTCAGTATTTAAGTAATATGTATTACTTAAAATTTTGCAGAATTTCAAATTTTCTCTTAATTTTGATTTTTATTATACTTATTGTTTATATATATTACTTGAAAATGCTTATAATAAATATACATTTTTATAAAATTTTATATTTTTTTTTCATAATTCAATGAAAAAACAATTATAATTTTGATAAATAAAATTTATAAAAAAAAAGTAAATTATTCAAAATTAAATTTCTTTTATTATTTTGCCGTTTTAATTTAAACATAATTTAAAGTAATTTTTTATGTTTTTATGTAAAATATGAAAAAAAAAAAAAAAAGATATTACTTAGGTTTACATAAAAAATAGGAAAAAAAGCATATAACATAAATATATATTTATAAATATATTTTAAAACAGTGCCATTCATCAAGTAGAAAAAAATAATAGACTACTAAATATTTTAAATAAAAAAAAAAAAATCAAAAACATTTGATTTATTATGAGAAAAAAGACAAAAATCTACTTAAATGTGTTAATTTCATGACAAAAATAATTATGCAAATGTATTTAAAAATATGCAAAATATGAAAAATAATAAATGTGTATTCAATTTATATATATAAAATAAGAATTTTTTTATGAACATTTTAAAATATTTATCTATATAGAAAAAAAAAGGCATTCTCATAAACTTCTCTATTTATATATTACATTTTGATTATATTTACAAAAGAGAATGCAAATAAATAAAAAAAAAAAGTGACAAAAATAATAGAAAATCTTTTAATATAAAAAATACAAATATTATATTTAGAAATAAAATTTTTATTATATGAAAATCCATATAAATAAAAATTTGTCCATGATATAAAAATTATACGAAATATAGAAACAAAAAAAAAAAAAAAAAAAAAAAAAAAAAAAAAAAACTTAATTTTATATACATAAAAAACATAATAAGATAATATTAATTTGTTGTTAAAAAAAGATAAAAAAAAATTATATTATTGGGAACATATGTCTTTACAATATAATGCTTTATGTTTTTTATGACTATTTATTTAATTATAATCAGTGAAACAAAAGGCTAATTATCTTTAATTTTTAATGATTCAGCCTAAATTTACTATATAAAAATTTTAAAGACACTATTTAGTTTTATATACTTTTTGTTCTTTGTTATTCTCAAATGCGAATTCTATAAATGCATTTTTTTTATATAAATTTTTTTTTTTCTTCTTTTTATTATTCTATTGAACAACTCAGAAAAATTTTTATTAGTTTTTACTTTGTTTTGTTACCTTTTATTAATATATGTAGTCTTATAATTTTTATTTAAAATAGTTTTCTAAGCTGTATTTTAGTTATATTAATGACAAACAAATATGAAAATATATTCTTGGATATTTTTTATGACAATAAAACATATATAATGGAAAAATAATATCATGAAGTAATAGTTGAAGAGTCATTTAAATTATAATATTCTTCAAATTCATTTTTTAAATTTTTTAAATCTATATATAATTCTTTAAATGTGCATCTTCGAGATGGGATAAATTGTAAACATTTTTTAATTATTTTCTTAATTTTATGTTTCCATATATTATTAGAAAAAATTCCTTTAGTTGGTAGTAGATCTTTAATAGTAATATTTTTTTCTCCTGAATATATATTAGTACTATTTTTGCAATTCCATTCACACAATATATCAACTACTTTTACTTCATTTTTATTAACGATATTTAATAAATTTTGTCCTCCGAATAATTGACAAAGTACTAAACCAACACTAAAAATTGTTGTTTTTGTTGTAAATTTAATTATCCACGTATCAATATTAGGTGATTTTAAATTTTCACATTCTTTTTTTTTTTTCTTCTTTTTTTCTGAATCATTTAATTTGCTTTCTGTTTCATTTTTTTCTTTCTCTTTCTTATATAAATATTCTTTTATTTCTTCATTATCAGAGTAATGCTCTATTGAATTATCATCGTTTATATCATGTGTACATACTTTGTTTAAATAATAATCTTTTAAGATGTCATCTAAGTCATCATTTTTTTGTTTTTTTTTTAATCTTTCATCTTGAATTAAATTTGAGTTTAAAATTTTATTTGTTTCCTTAAAAATGTATCCTTCTTTAAATTCACAATTATCATTGATATTTTTTGAGTTTTCTTTTAAAACGTTGTTACAGTCATCTTTAAGAGGACTCATATTATTATCAAAATTTTTCTTATAATTATTCATATTATTATAATTGTTTTTATATTTATTCACATTATCACTGTCACAGTTTTTTTTATAATTACTCATATTATTATAATGATTTTGATAATAATCCATATTATTATAATCACCCCAATAATTACTCGCATTCTTGTAAAATAAATATGGACAAACATTTTTTTTTAGCGAATTGTTTATTTTACTATCATTGTTTTGGGTAATGATAGAAGAAGTGTTATTATCTCCACTTTTTATGCAACTACTTTTTTGATAAATTGGATGTAATGACTTCTCGTTAGTAGAATATTCTTTTTTTTTAACAATAGCTTGAATAAAACAAAGTTCTAATAACTTTTTCCATCTATATTTGATTCTTAATTGTTTAGTTTTATTTATATGATAAATATCTGAGTCAGACCCATACCATGTTTTTCTGAATTGGTCTGATTTATTTAATGATGATAATAAAAAAACTAAGAGAGCACATTCAGGAGAGCAATATCCTTTGGTACAAATTACGTAATACAAAAAATTATTAAAATTTTTTTGAACATTATTAATTTTTATTTTTTCATAATATGATGGATTGGTTGGAAAAAAAAAACTTCTACCTGGTAATGCATCTCCTATATCTATGATAGTAACATTTTTGCAAGAAATTTTGGAATTTATCATTTCATATTCAATCATAATATTACCTGGTTTTGTATCCCAATTAATAATAGGGTTATCAATTGATTCACATATTATCATTAAATGCTTAACTAATTTTTTGCAAATATCTAATAAAAACAATCCATAATTCACATTATCTGTTCCTTTTAATTTTTGAATAATATAAGTTAAAGTACATCCATCAATCATTTGCATGGCTACACCTAAAACATCTTCATTATTCTTTGTTACTCCAATAGAAGACCATAAATATTTAGGAATTGAATTTGAATATTTTTTTTTTATCTCTTTTGTTAAATAATTTTCGCATTTCTCTTTTTCTACTTGACATTTTTTGCATAAATTAAATTTTATATTTTTCAAGTTGTTTATAAAAAAATTAAACGAATTACAAGAAATATAATTATTAATTAAATATTCGCATGACTGATGATTTTTTGACATGCAACTACATGAAATATGTTTATATGGAATTAAGTTATACGGTAATGTTTTATATGATTCCAGTTTATATGGTATGAATTGACCTGAATGAGAATTCATAGAGACATAATTAATTTTTATGTTTTCTTTTTCATTTATACACTCTTTATAATTTTTTTTAACATTATTTTTTATATATTTTTTTTTTTTCACACTTAATATCCTTTTCTTTTTTTTGTTAATATTTTTAATTATTAATTTCGTTTCCTTTTTATTGGAACATTTCTCATTATCCTTTTTATTCTTTATTTTTTTTGTCTGATTTTTATTCCTTTTTTGTTTTATTTTTATTTTCTCATTTCGTATTTTTTTTCTTAAATTTATATTTTCGTTAATGATTTTTTTTTTTGTCACATTTTCATTATTTACTTTTTTATTTTTCTTTTTATTATTAATTTCAAGTATATCACCATTTGCTTTTATTTGATCATCAACCTTTGCATTCCTTATATTATTTTCATAATTAAAATTTTCAATGTGATCAGTATTCTTTTTAATATTATCGTTGAAAAGAAAATTTTTGTCATTTATTTCAAAATCATTACTTAAAATAGATATATCTGAATTTTTGTTTAATTTATATAGTAAGATAATATCTTTATCATAAAAAATATTTAAGCATTGCTTGCAGATAAAAGGGAATTTACTGTTATCAATTGCATTAGAAGATTTTTCAGAAATATCTGGATAAAATAATTTATTATTATCATCAATGTGACTATTATTAATATTCATAACATTACTATTACTATTAATAGAATTTTTATTATTAATATTTTTGTTATCTACAATATTACTATCGTTTTCAATGTAATTATTATTAATAACATTATTTTTGTTTTTAATAATGATATTATTTTTATTATTATTTTTCCAGTCATTTATTTTATTATCTATATTGAAATTCACATTCATAACTTTAGAATTATTATCTGTAGCATTATTTATTACATTTCTTTCGTTACATAACTTTTGATAGTAAACTGGATATGAATTAAATGATAAATTCAAATGTTTATTTGACTTTAAACTATAATTATCATATTTAAAATTGTCATTAAAAATTATTTCATTATTTTTATTTGAATTTATTAATTTTTCTTTTAGCAAATTTTTTTTTTCTAGATAATTCATAATTTCAGTATTTACACTTTTAAGTTGTTTCCCTTCTGATAGTAAGCTATGTATTTTATATTTTAATTTAAATATATTGCACGAGTCAATATTTAATATTTTAATAGCGAATTTATTACTAGGTATATTTCTAATAGAATTCTGGTATATCGTAAATGGATTATTTATAACATCATTTATATAATTGTATCTTATTATATGCTTAATTATATTAAATAATGTATTGGATTCAACATTATCTTTTTCTAACAAAAATTTTATATATTTCTCTTTTAAAATATCATATAATGATTCATAACCAAAATTTTTCAGAAAATTAATTTTTTTTATTACTTCAATTAAATATCTAATAATAAGTTGTTTATTAAATAATGAATTATCTAATGACAAGGCATTTTTATCACTTATATTAAAATAGGAATCATTATTATTTACATTTGTATTTGCATTATTTGTGCTGTTATATATATTACTATTTATATTTCTACTATTCATTTTTAAGTAATTTGCAGAATAGCTATTTTCATAACCATTAATAATCTCCTTCTCATTTTTTATAATTGAACAGCTTTTACAAGTGTTTTTATTATTAGAAAAATTAGAATTTAAATTATTTTTATTTTTTTTTACATTGTTATAAAAAATATATGAATTATAAAAGTTATCAGTATTTATAATTTTCTCTTTTTGAATAGAATTAGCATCTTCATTATTAATGTCAATTATATTATTCTTTTTCATATTTACTATTTTAAAAGGAAATATGTCCTTAATATCATTTTTAATATTTTTATTATTCAGTGCACTTATTATACAATTTTTTTTTTTTCTTAAATTTAAATTATCATTGATATTTTTTATTTTATTTTTGTCAAAATTTTTTGTAATTTCATTATCTATTGGGCATGTATATTCTTTATTTAATGATTTTGTTAAGTAATTTTCTAAAAATGAAGTATAAGAAAAACCGTCTTTTTCTGTATTATCTATAAAAAATTTTGAATCGCATTTAAAATTATAATTTGAGCAAAAAATAGTATTAATTAAATCACTTATAATCAGATTAAAATCTTGGCTATTTTTCATAAAATCATTTATATTATTCTCATTAATATCATTATGTAATAGGTAATCATAATTATTCATACTTATTTTATGAAAATCATAATTGTTTATACTTTTTTTTAATAAATTATAAAAATTTTCAAAATTATGAATATGAGGATAAAAAAAATTACAAATATTGTCAATCGCAACTATTTCGGCTTCATATACTTCGAATTGGCATTTATTTTGTGAACTTAATTTTTTTTTTAATTTTACATATACATTTCCAAATTTTATATCATAATCTAAATTTTTTAAATAATTTAAATATCTTTTTAATGCGTTACAATTATGCATCATACTTTCATAGTATGGTTCTCTTAAATTTTTTATATTTTTGTCTTTTTTAAAATCAATATAATTTTTATCTATGCCATTATCATTTTTATTAAGATCTGTTTTTTTTTCTTCATTTGTATTTATGTTACAATTCATTATATCTATATTTGTTTTTTTTTTGTAATTGTTATTCTTGTAATTATTAAAATAATTTTCTTTCATATTTTTATGCATACTACTACTACAAATATTATTTACTTTTATTTTTTTTTTTTTAGTTTTGTTATTACTACAGTCGCTATTATCATTATTATTATATTCATTTTTGTTTTCATTATTATTATTATACTTACTTTTGTTTTCATCATTATCATTATCATCATCATCATCATCATCATCATTATTATTATTATTATTATTATTATACTTATTTTTGTTTTCATCATTATCATCATCATCATCATCATTATTATTATTATTATTATTATGATTATTATTATAATTATTATTATTATTATTATGATTATTATTATAATTATTATTATTATTACTGTTATTGTTACTGTTATTATGATTATTATTATTATTACTGTTATTGTTACTGTTATTATTATTACTATTATTGTTGCTGTTTTTATTGTTTTTATCATTATTACTATGATCAATGTTATATTTATTTATAATATTACTATTATTATCACTACGATTACTATTTATAGTATGATTACTGTTATTATTATTTTGATAATTACTAGTTTTAATACAACAAAAATTATTATTATTACTATAACAATTTATATTTACATTATTTGAAATATTACTATTTACATTATTACTTTTGTTAATATAACTTATTAAATCACATTTTTCATTTATTTTTCCATTTTTAAAATCAAAATTTTCCACTATATTAAACTTCTTCATATATTTTTTAACAGAACACATTTCATTTGTGTCAATATTTTTTATATTTGTAACTTCGTATAATAAATTGTTATTTTTATTTAAATAACTTTCGTTATATATTTTCATATTTTTACTACTATTTATATTGCATATTTTGCTATTTGTCGTGTGAAGTTTGTTCTTAGTATTATTTTTAATATTATATATGTAATTTTTATAATCTACAATATTTAAAGGTTTTAATATATTTAATATGGTAGTATTAGTTTCACATAAATCATTGTAATTGTTAATATTAATTTTTTCGTTGGCATTTTTACTATATATATTAACAGATAAATGTTTTTTATTTTTATTTGAGGAATTACATAAATGATATATATTATTTTTATCTAAATATTTAAATTTATGACTATGTGCATGTGTTATATTATCTAAATAATTTTTATCCCTATTTAAAACTCCAAAAGGATTATTATATTCATGATTTATATTACTTTTATTCATATTATATATAGTGGTTTTTTCATTAAGTAGCTTATAGAACTCTTTGTTTTTTTCGTATAAATTTTTAACTTTATTTTTATATTTTAAACTGATCATTTTATAGTAAGAAAAATTTTTATTGGTTTTATAATTATTATTTGTGTTTTTATTCACGAAAGCATGAATTGAATTATTCTGATTATGATATGTGTTAATTTTTATATAATTACTTTTATTATTTTGAGTGAAGTTATAACTTTTATAAATGTTTTCAAAGTAACAATGCTTATTATGAATATTCCTTATATTTTTAAAATTGTCTTCTAAATACTTAATGTAATATTCATGATAATCTATCTTTTTATCTTGAGAATTATTATATATTTTTCTTTTCATTAAATATCTATATTTATTTTTCAAATTAATATAAAAATTTAGTTTTTTTTTTAAATAATGTTTTTCTCTACTGTTATTTACAACACTAAAATTATTAATATATGAAAAAACATCTATTTCTTTTTTTTTAATTAAACTTTTGTTTTTTTTATTTATAATATAATCAATATTATAATTGCAATCTTTGTTACTAATATAGGCATCTGGATATATATTATTTAACCATTCTTCTTTTAACTTGAATTTTAATGATTTTTTTTTGATACCATTATTTTTAAGGTAGAAATTTTCATTACTTAATGAGTATTCATTATTTAAAATTAATTTTGATAAGTTATGAGAATTATCTAAAATTTTAGTTTTCTCATGAATATTGTTAATGTTTTTTGATATAACATAAGAATGATTACAATCTTTATCTAAAAATAATTTATTTATACTTGCATTGTTTGAATATTTTATTTTAGGATGTAAATTATATTTATGTAAAATGTCTGAATGAGAGTAATGTTTTTTCAACAGATAAATGTTATTTTTTAAATAGTCATCATGTGTCTCATTCTTCTCATTAATTATTTCACACATTGTATCATTAGTTATATTTTTTGGACAACCATATTTAGAATTAAAAAATGTATATTGATCTCCTTTATAATTTTTTATAATGAATAATCTTAAAGGATCTTGTTTTCTTAAATATGTCTTGTAATTTGGAAAATAATTTTCTGATATTTTATTTAAAATAGGAGTTTTATCTAAATGTATTTTACTGTTTATTTCTACTACTTGTTCGTTAATATGCTTTCGTTTATTTATATCTATAATTCTCTTAATTTCATTATATTTTTTAGAATTTCTAAGAAAATAATTATTAAAAATTAAACTATTCTTATTTAAATAAAAGGAATTGATGTTTTTCGAAGGGATGGATATCTTATTTTTAGACAGGCAACTATTTTTTTTATATTTTCTAGAATTATTTAATATAAAAATGGTATTAAAATTTTTATTACAGTTTATAGATATTTTATAATTTTTTTTTTTCCTATCATTTTCATTATATATATTCTTATTTTTATATAAATTATATTGAAAATTATGATTCTTAGAATTAAAATTAACGAAGTTTCTTTTACGAGTGTTGCATTTTGTAGATAAACTGATTAAATTATTGTTTTTTTTTTTGTTAATGATATACATACAAGTTCCACTTTTACTTTTTGAATTATTTTTTAAGTATTTTTTATGATTAATATCTATTATCTTGTCATTTATACGTGATTTAAGCATGTAGTCAGAATTATTCATATAATTTTTTTTTCTAATAAAAATTTGTATACTTTTATTATTTTTTAATAAAGTAAAAAAATTTTTGTTATACAAATGCTCATTTTTTGGTGTAAATCTTAAATTTTTTCGCATTTCATTAATCTTTATATTTGTATCATATTTTTTTTTATCTTCTTTATAACATTCTATATTTTTATTAAATAAATATTTATAATTAAAGAAATTCTCGCATAAATATGAGCAATACTTTTTATAAAAATTATTAATATGTAGTAACTCATTTCTTGTTTTATTTTTGAAAATACATGTGTGTATATTGTTGATATTATTGATATTTTTTTTTTTGTTCTTTTTGTGATTTGTTCGTATCATACTCGCTTTGTCCTTATCAACTATATTATTTTTATTATAGACATCATAATTATCGTATTTTTTACTTTCTTCCTCATTTATCTTATTAGTTCTATTTTTTACAACTTTAAATTTAAATGGTACTGAATAATGATTCCTTACATTATATGTGATATTATTATATTTTTTTCTTATGTTAATTTTTTTATTATTTTTCTTTTTGATTTTCAGAGTTCTTATATTGAGTTTACTTTTTATTTTCTTCGTAATTTTCTTCTTCTCATTGTGTTCTTTATTTCTTTGTTTACTTGAATTATAATTATTTTTTATACTATTCAAATATATTTTTCTCTTTCTATCATATATACATTTATCACTTATATTATATATAAAATTATAGTTATATATTACATTATTATATAAAAAAATATTTTTTATATAATTAAATTTGATAAAATTAAGAAAAATATATATGTATAAAATTCTTAAATAATTTATGTCATTTATAATATTATATGGAATTATGTAGATTTTTTTATTTTTTACTTTATCCTTTCTATCTATTAAGGTTATAATACTATATAAGTATATAAGTATATCTATATATGTAATTCTTGTAATTTTTCTATTAAAAGAAGAAAAAAAATTATATTCATATTGTGCTAGTATTTCATTATTATGCAAATTGAGATTTTGTTTTCCTTTTTTAAGTTCATTTTTCTGATTTTTGCTATAATATAATTTAAATATTTTGAAAAAAGTACAAATTAAATTATAAAAATAAAAATATAAAAGCTTTCTAATTATTTTATGAAAAGAAAGATTTTCATTAATTTTTGTAATAAATATATTTTCTATTATTTTTGAATATATATTTTTTTCTCTATTTGTTGCACTACATATACATAATTCTAATATATTGTTGTATAGATTTATTACATTTTTTTTACTAAACAATCTATTAAATTTTCTTATCTTATTATTTAATGTATATAAAGAATTAAAATTATTAAAAATTATTCCTAAATCACAAGAAGATATAATTATACACTTAAAAATTAAATTAAATATTTTATAAAAATATAAGAATATGTTACAAATATATTTTTTTCCATCTATCTTATTTTGTATAACAAATGCTATTTTATAATTTTTTATATCCTTTTTTATTTGAGTTAAACTTTTTACTTTCATATCAGATTTTTTCTTTCTATAATATCTCATAAAAAAATTATATCCTAATATTATGTAACATTCTAATTTAATGAAGTATTTTACATTTAGGAAACAATTTAATTGTATAAAAAATTCAAAATTAAAACAATCTTTTAACATTTTTAAGATTTCATTATGTTTTAATATTTTAATACAATCTCTTGAATTTTTTAGGAATTTTAAAGTCCTTTGTAAATTAATATCTATATATATTATATTAGACAAAGTTTTTATAAATGTATTTTTAAAATATTCCTTCAACACAAAATAATATTCATTAAAAAAATATAAAAATATATTTTGTTCTTGTTTTTTAATCCTGTTAAAATTTATCAGAATACATAACAATCCATTTTCATTAAAAATATATAAGAGTATATTTGTAAAATAAAGAATAATTTTCTGATATTGCTTAAGGAGATATTTAAAATTTTTGATGCATCCTTGTATATCTGAATTTTTTTTTTTTTTTAATAACATTAATGTATTATTTTTCATCCTTTTTTTTACATTCTGAATATATGAATTAGCACTTTTTTTATTTCTAAAAAATTGACAAACTTCACTTAGATTATTTTCAGAGGAATTTTTTAAATATAAAGATAACTGCATATAAAAAATATAAAAATAATATATTAAACTATCTTTAATTATTTTAAAAAAAGCAAATATTATAAAACAAATTTTATAACAATTAAAGGAAAATATATTTGCTAAATCTTTAATAAAATTTTTTATATAAAAATTTATACAAATTATTCTTATAATTTGCATTATATAGAAATTATCTATATAATTATAAATAAAATGTAAAAATAATTTTCCATATTTTACCTTAAAAATATGAACATTTATTAAGATTTTAGAAAAAGCTTCAATAAATTTAAAGTTATCACAAAATTCGTAAATTTGATATAAAAATCCTATTAATTTTGTTGTACTTCTTATATTTTTTGAATTTTTGAAGTAATTAATACTTTGCAATTCAATCTTATAATAATTATTAAGAAAATAACAAAGTATATAATTTCTTAAAAATTTAAAGTATAATTTTATAGTTGATAGACTAATAATTTGATTTAGATAAAATTTTAAGGTTAAATAATATGCAATGATATATTTTAATATATTTTTTATTAACATTTCATTTATTTTAAAATTAATAACTAATTGTTTTGTTAAATGATTTCCTTTTTTATGGATAAATTTTGTATTTCTTTTAATTTCTATCCTTATTTTCCACTTTTTTCTTTTAAATTTAAAGAATTTTTTTTTTACAATTTTATTTTTTTCTATAATGTTCATATTCCTTTTTTTTTTAAATATCATTTCATGAACCATTGTGGAAATTAAAGAATATCTCTTATATATTTTGTATGTTAAATGTTTCCTTTCACTTTTTCTGTATAAATTAAGCCCACTCCTCTCTTTTAATTTCTCGTAATTTTTTTTTTTTTTTTTTTTATTAACAAAATATGAATTCATGTTTTCATTTGTATTCTCAAATTTATTTTCATAAAATTTAAAATTATCATCATAAAATGTTTTAAAATTTATTGTACTATCTTGAGAGGAAATTACTGTTTCTATTGTTTTAGATGATATTCTATTTAGGTAATGTGTATTTTTATTTATCTCAAATTTATTTTTGCGGTTATTTTTTTCCAAAAAATTCAAATAATAAAAAAATTTTGTTTTTCTTTCATTTGTGATTATTTTTTTCTTATAAATTTTTTTACTTAATTTAATGGAATTATTTTTTTGTTTTCTCCGTTTATTTCTTATTTTCCTTTTTTCATTACTTCTGTAACCATATTTATTTAAAATATTTTTTCTGTAGATGTCGTTAATGCAATTACTCCCATTAAAATATTTAAATTCATTATTGTTTATTAAATGGTTATAATTCTTTTTTCTTTGTTTAGTTTTCTTTTTGAAATTGTTTCTATTATTATTTTTTTTATTATAAAAAAAATTATTGTCTTCTTCTAAAGAAGTTAAGTATGCATCAACATACTCTTTTTTATATTTTTTTTTGTACGTAAAATTATTAGATATATATGAATTATTTAAAATTTTTTTTTTATTGTTGTCAATATCTAACAATGATTGTATTCCATAATATTTATAATAAAAATCATTGTTTTTTAAATTCGCTAAATATATCATTTTTTTTTAAGATATGATATAGACAATGCATATGCATATTTATATATATTTAATAATTTAAATGTATTAAAGTTTATATATTATTCTTATCAATATATCTTATTTAAAAAAAAAAAAAAGTAATTAAGTATTAATGCTAAAATTAACAAAAGGTATTATTATTATTATTATTATTATATATATATATATATATATATATATATAACATACAAATTTTAGTAAAAATATAAAGAAAAATGTGTATGTATTTGAACTAAAAAAAAAATTATGTGTGAAATTAACAAAATAACAATTTCCTAGTTTGCATTTCAACAGGTAGTAAAATACTAGAAAATAAAATTCTGTTTGTTGCACTAGCAAAAAATTTGTCTTTTTTTTTTTTTTTTTTTTTTTTTTTTTTTAATTAATCT